TCATGCCCCCAGGTAAGGGGGTCCGGGGCCGTGGTGGGGGTCACGGCATGGCGGGGGGCCACCTCGGGCTCATGGTGTCCCCCCCGTTGTGTCGTGTCCCCCCCCAGGACTCCAGCCAGATTGGGCTGCTGAAGGAGCTGCTGGACCTGCAGAAGGACATGGTGGTGATGCTGCTGTCCCTGCTGGAAGGTGGGGTCCCCTTGTCCCCCCCGGGGCGTCCAGGACCCCTCTGCTGCCGTGGGTGTCCCAGCGTCACCCAGGGTCCCCCTGCCATCTGGGGTGTCCTCACTGTCCCCAGCCACTGGGGCTGTCCCCACAGCACCCCCAGACCTGACGGGACCCCCCTCCCCTCCACAGGCAACGTGGTGAACGGGACCATCGCCCGGCAGATGGTGGACATGCTGGTGGAGTCCTCCAGCAACGTCACCATGATCCTCAAGTTCTTCGACATGTTCCTGAAGCTGCGGGACATCGTGGCCTCGGACGCCTTCCGTGACTACGTCTCAGACCCGCGAGGACTCATCTCCAAGAAGGACTTCCAGAAGGCGATGGACAGCCAGAAGCAATATGAACCCGCTGAGATCCAGTTCCTCCTCTCCTGCTCCGAGGCGGATGAGAACGAGATGATCGACGTGGAAGCCTTCGCCGGTCGCTTCCAAGAACCTGCTCGCGACATCGGCTTCAACGTAGCTGTGCTCCTCACCAACCTCTCGGAGCACGTTCCCCACGACCAACGTCTCCGGACCTTCTTGGAGCAGGCAGCCAGCATCCTGGAGTATTTCCGTCCTTTCTTGGGACGGATTGAGATCATGGGAGCGGCTCGACGGATCGAACGCCTCTACTTCGAGATCAGCGCCGCCAACAAGGCGCAGTGGGAGATGCCCCAAGTGAAGGAGTCCAAGCGTCAGTTCATCTTCGACGTGGTCAACGAGGGGGGGGAGGCCGAGAAGATGGAGCTCTTCGTCAACTTCTGCGAGGACACCATCTTCGAGATGCAGATCGCTTTCGACGGATCGAACGCCTCTACTTCGAGATCAGCGCCGCCAACAAGGCGCAGTGGGAGATGCCCCAAGTGAAGGAGTCCAAGCGTCAGTTCATCTTCGACGTGGTCAACGAGGGGGGGGAGGCCGAGAAGATGGAGCTCTTCGTCAACTTCTGCGAGGACACCATCTTCGAGATGCAGATCGCTTCCCACCTCTCCGAGGAGGAATCCTCTCGGGAAGGAGGGGAGGATGAGGAGCAGGAGGAGGAAGAAGAAACCCCCGACCCCACCGGCCCCCCGCCACCTGCTG